AAGACGTGTAGATGAGGCGCTTAGGGACATGGTTTAGTGGGCATGGTGGTGTTGGGTTGACAGTTGGACTCGATGATCTTAGAGGTCTTTTCCAACCTCAATGATTCTATGATTCTATGATTCTATGATAAACTGGGGATCTGACAAAGCGCAGGCACCCACATCTACCAACACAGCTGACTTCAGAAATTCCTAGGCTGCAGCACTCTGGAGGCTGGGAAGGTGAGCCAGGGAAGGATTACCATGCGCTTGCTTTACTCTTCTACTCTTGCCTGGTCCACTGGGCTAGATATTTGGTATGCCCTGTTACAGCATTTCTTATGTTCTCAGGTTGAATAGTGACCCATAAAACCCCTGCTAACTCCCAGGAATCTGAAGGAATCATCAGCATCAGGACATTACATTAAGTGCCCACAGCCCTGTTACATCTACAATTGCCTGCACATTTTGCCTGTATAGTCTAATCCGGACTACAGCACAGATTAAAAACGCTGACTACAGGACGCAGAAGCCATTTTTAAAGAAGAGAGAGTAGCCATCTTTTTGTTGTTAGAGGATGGTGATTCTCAACCTGTAGACAGATGTGCCTGTGAGACAACTAGCAAAAGCAAACCTACCTCCAGAGCGTGCTTAAATTCATGACACAGGACCCTCCTTCACTGGGAACTTTAAAAGAAAAAGTTTAGGGAAACTTTATCAACACAGCTTGAAAAGGTGTAAAAGCCTTTGAGCATATGGATAGGCAGCTCACTGAGAAGCAGGTACACCCTTTCCCTGCCTGGATCCCTGCCTTGCCAAGGCAGACAAGCGTCTCAACTGCCAGATCCATGCTGGAAGAAAAGCAATCTTCACCATTTCTGTTGATGCAGTGCCACCAAGTAGCAAATAATGCAAAATTAACAAAGACTGCCTTGTCAGGGGCAAGGGCTTGAGCTGAAAGAGCGTGGTTCTGGGCTCTGCCCCCTGATTTCTGGGCTGTTTTATCAGGCGACTGTTTAATGCAAAATTCACAGTACACACAAGCTGCCTGGTGTCCCACCTTGTGGCTCCTTCCCTGCTGCCCCAAGCACGGGAGGTCTCCCTTGTGGCTCCTTCCCTGCTGCCCCAAGCAAGAGCGGGAGGTCTCTGTGACAGACTCCCAAGATCAACTACATTCACCTCAGTTATTTTTCAGAACTTCAGCCAACAACCAACCCTGTGGGGCACTTGTCCCTTTCTGCCAGGGAGGATGACGGCAGGCGCAGGGCCGGCTGCAGGCCTTGCCCCGCTGCAGGTCGCGCCACACGCTCTGGGACGGCAGGTGAAGGGGGCGGCAGGACAGGAGAGGACAGGGCTGCACCGCGTCCCCGTTTTAAAGCACCCAGAGGAGCCGTACGGGGGCGCCGAGGGGGAAGCGGGCA